GAAGAATTGCTCTTGACAGCTCCCCATGCCGCTTGTTTCCTTCTGCCCAACTCTGGAGCTAAGTTGTTGATGTTGATTTCCACACCTAGATAGACGGAACTGGAGCATTCCGAGATATGCGTTCCGCTGAGCGTGAATGGGGCATGCGAAACCAATCCATTCTTCATGAACATCATTCTTGTGAGATTTTGCGAAGACCAAACTTTCCACAGGGTCTATCAAAGTCGTCAAGCATACGTTCCGCTTGGCTAATGTTTCGTGTTATAAAAACAGTGTTATCAGCAAAGCGAAGACGGTGTAATTGCCGATCACCGACCTTCACTCCCATATTATCTCATTTCAATTCTTGCAAGATGTTGCAGTTGAACGAGGCAATGGCATTCAAACATTATTTATACCATTAACACAATATTAACAATAATAATGAGATTCCAATGAAGTAGCCTTTTCTTAGCCGTAAGCGATGCCGCGCCGCGTCTATTCGCGGCCGGCGAGGCGGCTGAGGGAGACAGTATGCTGGGGCGGAGGGAGGAGACTGTATGCTCCGGAGACGGAGACAGTATACTGAGGTGCTACAGTGAAATGGTAAATGTGCGTAGCTTACTAGTATTTCGGCTAAGCTTGTTTTTGCTTGTATTAGTATTGGTTGTCGTTCTTCGAAGGGAATGTTTGCTTTATTTAAGCGTCCTTTACAACGAAAAATTCCGTGTTGATCTTTAACGATACTATAGGGATAAAGGAAACTTTTTGCCATCCCGGGTTAGGTGTTTCGTTGATGGTTTCGTATGATCACCCTTAGTGCCGCTTCGTATTCGACTTAGTGCCGTAATGTATGATTGCGAGAATGCTAACTCGATCTCTGGAATAATTCTTTCGCGTAATTGAGATTTCAATTTCGCTGTCACTTTATTAAGGAATCTCAGTACATATGCCACTGCATTTTGCGCCGTTATTAGTCGATTATGTGCTGACCAATCCAGCAATTCTAGAACCGGTTGGTCAAAAGTCGTCATTATCGTAGAATTGGACTTTATTTTTCACACTTTGTGGTATCGCAAAGGGCTTGATTTCTATTGGCAAATCTGAGTCTCTAATGAAATCGGGTCCTATCCACCAACAATGGCTCTTTAACTGAGACATACCTAATCCCCTCGTTGCACAATCGGCTGGATTTTGATCTGTAGGTACGTGGGCAAATTGAATAAGATTTTGCAAAGCCTTATCTATTCGACCTATTTCCCTGATGCGGTTTTTTACTCCCACTGATTTTCCTAAATTTTGTGATCGTATCCAACCTAGTGCAATTTCAGAGTCAGACATAATTAATATTATTTGAATAGATACGTGGTTTTTTAAAGCTGTATGTATTGAGTGGGCTAGACGGACTGTCATAGTTATAGCATTTAACTCAAGCTTTGGAATAGTGGTAACGTGGTTGATTAACTGTAGTTTGGATTTTCCCATAAGGAGAAACGAATATTTGATACTAAGTAGGCGCAAGTTGCCATACATTCTTTGCTGGCGTCCGCAAAGAGGATTAGTTTGGCTTCATGTCCGAGTTCGGCAACAAATCGTGGGATGGAGATTTCAAATCCATTTAGATTTCTGACAATTTTTTCCCATTCGTCGGCATGTAGTTTTGAGCGGTGTGTCCCACGTATAATCGAGGTTCCAAAGTTTTTGAAGAAATTGTTTTCCTCGTATTGTTAGTGGTGTGAGCCATCCTAGGGGATCGTAGATTGCTGCTACCTGTTCTGCTACTGAACGCTTCGTCAGCTTTGATTTGCATGAATATTTGCATGAGAGAAGTAGTTTATCGTTTTCCGAATCCCATGCTATTCCTAGGATCTTTTGTTGGTTGCTTGATGCCAAGTCCTTCGAGGGGATCTAGCGAATGAGTTGTTTATTGTTTGACATAAATTCTCGTAAATTCATGCCTAAATCTTTGAAAATTTGCTTTGATTGCTTAACCTTGGCTATGGCCTCTTCTAATGACGAACTTGTGATAATAACGTTATCGACATATGTATTGTTCGTAAGTTCGTGGGCCAACGCTGCACTGGACACTTGGGTCTCTAAGTGATGCTTAATTGTTCCTGCTAGTAGGAACGGTGAACAATTGAGGCCAAAAGTTACCCGTGTGAATCTGTAGGTAACTATGTTTTTTGGCTCGCAAGGTTGTGAGATGCCACGAATCCATAGAAATCGTGTAGCATCTCTATCTTGCTCGTGGAATCGTTCTTGCGAGAATGCTTTCTCTACGTCCGCAATCATTGCAATATTTCCTACGCGAAAACGAAGTAGAATATCGCATATTCGAGGAAGAAAGACTGGCCCTTGGTGGAGAATGTCATTTAATGAGGGCTCTAGTACTGGATGCGCGGATGCATCGCAAACGATTCGTAATTTTGTGGTTTCCTTATGTGGAGTTACCACGGCGTGATGCGGTAGATAGTGAATAATGACACCTTGTTGGCGTATCGATTGATCGACTTCCTCAATAATGTTCTCATTTAGTTGTTGTATTATCGTTCCGTTATATTTTTCTAGTAGGGAAGGATTTTTCGTCAGTGTGGCGATTGTCCCTTGCAATCGCCGAAATGCCTTGCATTTGTTCTCAGGGAGTGTAGTTGAGTTGCTTTTCTACGGAAGTCTCACATAATAACTATCGTCACGTCTCTCTATCGTTTTCGCAAAATGTTCCCAAATTTCAGCGTTTTGCTGCCTTTGTTCTTCCATTTTCGATCCCGTAAATTCGTTAATTCCTGATGATTCTAGTGCGCAAAAATCTTCCCATGATTGTTGTTCATAAGGTTGAGGGTTGGGTACTGTAGTCTCTGTGACAAGGAGTGTACTTTCTTGCGATTTAATGTACCGCTTATGGTTGGCTCCTACCACTAGATAACCTAGTTTAGAGGGAACTAACTTTAATCCCGACGGTAATGTTTTGTTCTGTCTTAGGTTACTATCAAGTAGAGAAAATACATCTGAACATCCGAGTAGGATTTGTGGATGTACGCTGTTACAGTCAGGATCGATCGACAATTTAATATTACTATAACGGAGGAGCTTCTTATCTTTTTGGCTGAGAGGTATACGCTTCAGAGGTTTGGTGATGGTCTCGATCCTGGTTACTGTGATTTCATGTTCTGTTCCATGGACATCCCACAATTTTACTGCGGTAACTCCACAGTTCTTTTTCACTTCGTTAAGAGCTACGAACGTGTTAATGGATATTTATTTATGTGATCTTATAAACTGATCTTCTTAAGCTGACGCGAGGTTGGTACAGATTTTCGTTGTCGTTATCGTTGTCGTTGTTTTTGATGTTATTGAACGATGGCTGACGTTTTGGCGACTTCGCCTTCCTCAGAGCCGTGATGTTATGTGCGGGACTGAAACGTCAGCCATCGTTCAATAACGTCAAAAACAACGACAACGACAACGACAACGAAGATCTGTACCAACCTCGCGTCAGCTTAAGAAGATCAGTTTATAAGATCACATAAATAAATATATCAACTATCTATGCCGAGGTTCATAGAAAGTCGGTCTTTCGTGTTAATGGATAATTCTACGGAATCAATATTTCGTAAATGAAGACGTTCAGCCAATTCGTTGGTGATAAATGAACGATCGGATCCTGTGTCAAGCAAGAGAGCTACTGGTTCATTTGTCTAACTGAATGGGTTGAAGATCTGCGCTTGTCCTGCCAAAACTTGGACACTCGTTGTGTCTTCTTTCATTGCATAGAGTATGACCGTATCATTCTGATAGTTTTGTTGGGATTCTACTGCATTGATTCGTGATTGCGTAGTCTTCTCGCCTTTCGTAGTGTTGACAGGCCCTTTTCGTTTGTCTCTTTGGTCTACTTCTGACTGATTAAGCTGTTCTTTTAAAGGTTGTTGGCGCTTACAAATGGACGTGTGATGTCCACGTTTACTGCATACTCGGCAGCACCCACCTTTGCAAGCCGATGTTTGGTGAAACTTTGATCCACAGTTAAAGCAAAGATTCCGATCTTTTATAATCTGTACTCTTTCTTCATATGTTCGCACTTTTTTGCAGTCAATTGGGAAATGTACTTGTGTTTCACTCACAATAGAAACATGGATATATTTTGCTCGTATACACGCGGGTTTGAGGCCCGAAAGGTTGCTGTAGGGATCTATTACCAGTACCTCTCAAGTCTGATGTGACACTGATGTTTCTGCCCAGCTGTTGTTGTATCCTGAGCTCCCTGCTTATATATTCTTTGATATTCAAAAATGAACCGCAAGGAGGAGTGTCTTGTCATCACGCGTGACCTAGCGCCATACCTCAGGCTGATCCAATGATCTGACATGGACCCAGTTATCGACCATGTATTACTCTGTGCGGCGGCTATCCACCAACTAACTTAAATACTTACAACAAATAAACGGTAGGTGTTTGAATGAAGCTGTTTCTTATGCGAATACAAATCGATTTATCAAGTTTTATCTGCTAGGGTTATGAAAGTGTTTGGCTGAGTAGATCGCATCTCAATTTGACCTTTCCAGGCTCTGAAGAAGGCGAAACCGCCGAAACGTCAGCAATTGTGTTCTAATAAATTCTATATTAACAACCTCGTGTCTGCTTATTGATGAAAAACATTGAATTATTCTTTGATAGATTTTAAAAAATCTTCAGTCTTGTATGTTTTATCGGATTCTCGAGTTCTTTGATCCAGTACGTGTCTTTGGATATCTCTCGTAAATTTCTTAAGAAGTTGATTTTGCAGGTACATGGTGTCTATAATTTCCCCGTTGTGTGCTAGTTGGCTGATTACGGACAAATGCTCGCACAATGTCTGCTGATCTTCAAGACGGTCGCTGTTCGCTTTGGTCGTCTGTACTCTGTTGAGTAATTCGTCCAGCAGATCTTGTTTATTAGCGTACTTCTGCTTTAGATAGGTGATAACCATCTGGTAGGATTCTCGTGTTATTCTGTATTGATTGACGAAAGCTTTCGCTTTCCCTTCAAGAGAATCTAATAGGTAGTTCATTTTCAAGAAGTCGTCCATTTTTTTGTGAGTGCACTGAGTGGTTGAACGCTTCCCAAAAGGTGTCCCACTCCCATAGTTTTCCGCTCAATTTTGGAATAGGTATAGGTGGGAGCTTTACTGCTAGAGGACTGATGTTTGTACTACTCGAAACGTTGTTTTTTGTATCTTCTAAAGTGTTTTTTAGTTTCAAGAACTTGAAGAGATAACGGGTTGCTCTTTCAAGTAACTCAAGTGTTTTTTCGGTGTTTGTATTAATTCTATTGCGTGCATCCTCTACTAATGGGATATTAGGATCAAGATGATCCGCTTCTTCACTATACTTATCGAGTGCTATCTGGACGTTTTCCATTTCAAACTGAATGGCGAATATTGCATCCGTGATGCTTTTTATTAGCGTATTGACGTAGGAAATGCGATCGATTTCGTCATAGGGAAGTTCTACTTGGGACAATGCTAAGTATTCACTATCGTCAAGATTACTTAGGAGACGGTTAGAAGCCCTTGTTAAAGCTCCTTGACGTGAAGACATTGAGGAAGTCATTATAAAGCGAAAGCAAACGTATTGGTTTCCCTGTTTGAGACTGATTGTCCTGTGACCTTTCTTGACAGTAGCTTGGTTGTTGCACCAGACTTTATTGATTTGGCCAATGCACCAAATATTGCAGTTGCTAGTCGAAAATAGGCCTTCGAGTCAGTTCTCGGCACCGAATAATCACTAGCCTTTAGCAGAATGGTCGACTTCGTGAATAAATGCCACGCGGGACTTTTCGTAGCAGTCACAAGGCAATACCTCAAACTTGGGTAATTAAACCTTTATATACATAAATGCTACACTAATATCATGATAGTAACGATAGAGAAGTAATGATAGAGGAATGACACAAGTTAGAGCTCTGAGGTGCTAAGGCCTGTAGTGAAGTGAAGCTTACAATGAGGCAATGGCATTCAAACATTATTATACCATTAACACAATATTAACAATAATAATGAGATTACAACGAAGTAACCTTTTCTTAGCCGTAAGCGATGCCGCGCCGCGTCTATTCGCGGCCGGCGCGGCGGCTGAGGGAGACAGTATGCTGGGGCGGAGGGAGGAGACTGTATGCTCCGGAGACGGAGACAGTATGCTGAGGTGGTGAGGGTTACAGACTGTCCGTGTTTCGGCCAAGCTAAGATTTCAACATTATAGCGATGAGGAGCATTTTAGTGGATCGATGAGGACTGTAAGTTACACGAGCGTTGACGGTGCTATGGACAGTGAATGATGAGTCATCTACGGAACACAGTCAGGCGGCTGGTCGTGAATAACGCTATGTCAGCAACGTGAACTTTGAGCATCGATGGGTGCACCATTGCCTAAGAGTCAAGGGCCAGTATGATAAATGGCTACAAAACTGATAAGCCTATAGCGGCTTAGCAGAATACATAGCATAAGTTGGCCGCTTAGCGGCATTGTACACATTGCGTATACATTATGGAAGGAATGGTACATGCCACCGATGGCGTCGCAAACAGAACGCATTTGGAAACACCCGTCTGACATCGCACCGTAGACAAGCTGAGAAACGAGATACAATAATCTGCTGATTACTGAAGGATGAATGTGAATGTGTGAATGAATATGATTGAAGGAGAATGAATGAGTATGACTAAGAATGAGTTGAGGATGATTCAGGATGTGGTTGTGAGGAGCGGATTATCCGCGCTACCGATCTGGTGGGTGATGGCATGTCTCCGCCGTCGAAGGCACCTGGCTTATATCGGCCGCGGGAGCCGCGTGCGTATGCAACCGCGGTTAATCTGGATTGTTGATCCTGGACCGCAATAGACTGTACCTAATTGCCTGAAACATCAAACATCATTAGCTTCGTTGTTTCGCAAGGAAGTAGTAAACTGTTCCACTGTTACGCCTTCTTCGGACATCGTTGGTATGCTACTGAAGTCAAACCTGAATCGCTATTGTGCCTGAAACATTGAACATAATTGATCCTTAATACTGAAACATACAGTAGTAGAAAGATACAAATATATATAGAAAGAAATAGAAACTATTCTGGGAATAGTTGCTATACAAACCGTTCTGGAGAGTAGCACGAAATAATTGTGGCGAGATTGTGTCACCTTGCCTAACCCCTCTTTTGACATCAATGGTAATATCGTTGCAGAATGGTGACATCTTGGTTGCGAAATTTTTCAACAGCTCACGAAAAATATTTATGTACTGAGTAGGGACTTCTTGACTATCGAGGGCTTCCATGGCGACTTCTATCTAAATTAAGTCAAAAGCCTTCTTTACATCGATAAAGTGAGACAGAGCGGTTCTTTATATTCTCGCCATACTTCAATGAATCTCGTTATCGTGTGAATGTATTCTATCGTACTAAATCCTTTTCGAAACCCTGCTTGCTGACATGGTTGCTCTTCGTCCAATGTCCTATCAATCCTGTTTAAGATAAGTCGAGTGAAAAGTTTGTAGACTACAGACAGCAAACAGATAGGGAGATAGCTGCGATATTATGTATGTCACCGTTCTTGAACAATAACACGGTACTGCTGGTCTTTCACTGAGTAGAGACCTTCCATTCAGACATGTAACGCGTCAAAAACCGAGCCACTGTGCTTAAGAGGACTGGTGGAAGGTTCCTCAGGTTCCAGTCTAATCCTGTCCGGACCTGGTTCTGTTCGATTTTTCACCGAAGAAATGGCATGCCGGATTTCGGAAGGGAGAGCCGGTGGTGCAACATATCCACCCTCCTTTATTTCTTATAACGGAAAGTGAACGTGGCTATCGAAGAGATCTGGGTAGTATTTGTAAATGATTTTCTCCATTGCCTTTCTGGACGTTGTAACTGTTACGTCTGGGCGTCGGAGTGCAATCATCTTGGTTCTGTAATTGGCGAAGCTTCGATAGGCTTTGCAAACGCTTTTCCTAGCCTTTGCAGCTTCGACCATTACTGCTGCTCTCCTCTCTTTAAGATCCTCTTACATCGCCCGTCTGCATATTTTGCAAGTTCGGATGTGTGTTCGCGGTTCCCTGCTCCTCGTGCGATTCCACGCTGGCCCATCAGCTCGAGTGTTTTTGGAGACAGACGTCTCTTGCTGACTTTCGGACTCTTAGACTTCATAGTTCTAACGTAGAGATATTGAATAAGCCGATCGTATTTGTCGTCGATGTTCTCGAAAACGACATCTTTCCAACAGTCGACTAATGAATTGAATAAGTCCCAGTCTGTGGTGGTTCCGGGAATTCGGTTTTTGAATTTAGCGACTTTTTCTCCATTTCGCGAGAAATCGAATCTTGCGCAAAAGAGGCTATGGTCGGATCCCGTGTAAAATTTTGAGACAACAGCGATATCGGTTAGGCAAAACCTTCTATTTACTATGATGTAGTCTATTTCGTTATGGTGCTCTCCAATACGGACTCCTACGTTCAGCGTTGAGGGCTCAGCTTTTGGAATTGCGAGTTACCATGAATCATCGTGGTCGGCACGATAAACTGAGACAGCCGCTCGCCCTGCTCGTTCCATTTCAATCCGTTGGTCCCAATGTGACGTTCTTCAGACGTTCTTCTTAGTCAGTAATGGCGTTGAGATCTCCAATGTTGACCTTGAAGAATGTATGGTCTTCTCTGTAGAACTTCTCCAAGTCCATATAGAACGCTTCGACTTTTTCTTCGTCATAGTTTGATGTGGGCGCTTAAACAACGAAGACTGTTAAAGGTGGTATTGATCCGCATCTTTTTAACTCGAGAGACCGACTTTCTATGAACCTCGGCATAGATATATTTATATATTATTTATGTTGATATATTTATTTATGTGATCTTATAAACTGATCTTCTTAAGCTGACGCGAGGTTGATACAGATCTTCGTTGTCGTTGTCGTTGTCGTTGTTTTTGATGCTACTGAACGATGGCTGACGTTTCGGCGACATCGCCTTCCTCAGAGTCTGGACGTACTTCATGTTAGAATACTTTTTATTATTCGGTGGAAAATAAGGTTAAAGTATTAATGAAGATCAAACTAATAGACGCCATATTGAACAGAAAGGCCACTCACCGTGATGTTACGTGCGGGAAATTGAAATATTTCAAAATGATATTTTGACCCCGGGGCGTGTCTTGCTCGCGTGAGCTACGTGTGGGACAGTCCCGCACGTAACATCACGGTGAGTGGCCTTTCTGTTCAATATGACGTCTATTTGAAAGTTTGATCTTCACTAATACTTTAACCTTCTTTTCCACCGAATAATAAAAAGTATTCTAACATAAAGTACGTCCAGACTCTGAGGAAGGCGAAGTCGCCGCAACGTCAGCCATCGTTGAATAACATCAAGAACAACGACAACGATAGCGACAACGAAGATCTGTACCAACCTCGTGTCAGCTTAAGAAGATCAGCTTATAAGATCACATAAATAAACACATCTTTTTAATCGTAAACATCCGATTCTGGTTGTTAGGTGTTCGAATGAATCAATGTTTATAGACAAACTCGTCTTGACGAGAACGCCAGCACCGCCGATTTCTCTACTGTGGTATGTTCCGAGGACCAGTTCTTCTCCGGTGTCATAGACGGCGTTGAAAGGCTGGCGTCTCCTCGTCTCGGCCAGGTCGATGACGTCGTACCTTATCCTTCTTGCTTGTATGAGCAAGTCTTCTATCGAGGACTCGGATGCAACTGTACGTGCATAGAGGTACAGATCGTCACCATAGTTTTTTAAAATCCAGGCACCTTCCACTGGTCCTGAGATATTAGCAGCATCTCCGAACTCGTCCTACCCAACGCTGCAAGGTTGTGGGCTCTCTCGGGGTTAGGGAGGTGGGGCTCGTTCTTTCTACTGTGTTTAGCATTTTTTGATACCCACATATAACTTGCCGGGCTCTGAACGTGGGGGCTGGGTATACTCACGGGTAACTTGCCAGGCTTTCCTAGAGTGGACATGGAGGTTATTTGTTGGAGGCGAGTTCTTACCGCCTTCCATAAACTTCCCAGTCACTTGATTGCAGGCTTTTGACCGAATTGACTCGTAGAATATAACCCGCATATGCAAGAACGCACCCACACACGCATGCATGAATACACCTAGCAAATACAGAAAGTATGTGGCAAAACAGAGCAGCAAAAACAGGGAACCCATCCCCTAGATCCATCTACGTCTCAGGAAAGCAAAGGTCACTCTTGATCCGCAATTAATCCTCTATCGGCCACCTGGTGACGCGCCACGTAGTCCCAATACTAATCGGCCATCGGGATCCCTCATATGAGGGAGGTCTGTGGACAGATATAAAATACGCATACGTATAGAGAAAATTTGTAACCGAGGGCTTCCCTCGAAGAAGGATCTCATGCCGAACAGTCACGAAGCAATGTGGCGCTCCCCATCTGGCGGATAGGAGATTAGTCGCAAACCAAAAACAACCTTTGCTTTTCTGTGACGCAGGTGGATCCAGGCTATCGATTCCCTTCACTGTTGAGCCGATTCGGCGCATGCCTCCTGTATTTGCGACGACATATTCATACGTATGTTCACAGATGTAT